CCCGTGTAAAATCTTACGCACGCAAATCTCCGACGAGCCAGACGCAAGCCAAGCTTGTCGGTAATTAGATCTGCGCGCGTTCGTCCTCGCTTTCCGTCGTTTCCGGGATTAACCACCCTCGAAAGACGCTGAGCGTGCACGACATTCATCCCGCTGGACGCGCTACGACGCACTGTTGTCTGGAAATCGGAGCGCACATTACGTGCCGCGAACGAGTGGAAGAGGCGGGCAGTCTCCCAAGCGCCTGCGAAGACGCGGAAGAAATCTCGTGAAGGATAGCGCAAGTGTCCACTCGACCGACGTTATTAATATACGTGGCGCGCTGGTGAAAACGCTCAAGCCGCACCCGCTCTTGCCCGCAGCAGCGCACCTGAAATATGTCCAAGCAGGGGAGCATATCTTTCGGCGACGCGGTCGGAGGGGAGTGTGAAAAATCGCGCCTATTAATAAGACTGCGGCGAAAAGCTCTCGGCGCCCGCGCCGTGCAGGCAAGACGAGAGCGAGACGGCTAACGAGAGTTGGCCGCGATTGTTCGCGTGTACGCACGAACGCGCGGGACGCCGTTGTCGTCGACAAACGGCACGATCGATCCGTGAAGCACTTTTCTTCTCTTTCCCTTTCTTTCTTCTCTCCTCTTTCGCCTTCCTTCTCCTCCTTTTCCTTCCTTCGCCCTCTTTTCTTCTCTCTTGTTTTTCTTCCTCTTTCTCTTAAGGCGGGGCGGCGCGCAGATCGGCTTCAGACCGGCCGCTTGCGTGCGAAAAAGATTCATTTCTCACAATTAACTAAGCGAAGAAGCGGATAATCGCGCGAAAATGTCGAATGGAGATTTCAGGCGATCATTCTCCGTGTTAGTATTCTTTTAAATTATCCTCAACTCCCTTTATTCCCATCATGGATCGTCCGTCTTACTTCCACCACTGCAGGCGAGGAGGCGAGTCTGGATGGGCGAGATGGGAAATTAATTCAAAAATTTGCTGCGACGCCCGAAAGAGTAGCGCGTGAGCTGAAAATTGATTCTTTCGTGCTTCTTGGATTATCCACCGGCGACTTCGATCTGCATTCAAGTACGCGCCCGGTCGATCGTAAATTTCAACGAAATATTCTCAAGCGGATACTTTGGGCGATATCTAGCGAAAGAGGAAGAGAGAGGGAGGGAGGGAGGGGGGGAGAGAGAGTAGAGTAGAGTAGAGAGCTCTACGGTGATGAGCAAGTTTCTTGACTTATACTTTGAGGAACATCGGCGTGATTCATTGTCATTATGTGGCCACGGCGAAAGCGAAATGATTGCCGGTATTCCGGATTTATTCCAGTGCGAATTATGACGTGCAAAAAGGCACTTGGTGACACGAGATGCGCGTGGCTGGAAAAAGAAAAAAGAAAAAAGGGGAAAGAAAGAAAAAAAGAAAAACGACGCTTCTCGTCCGCGACGCACATGGCGCAGCCATGGGAAGTCGCGCGACTTGTAAATTATGTACCGAATTGTGAAAAAGGAGAGGGACACACTCTTGCGGCCCGGTCACCAGGTCGTGTAACCTCAGTTGACCCCTTATATGCCAAAAAATACCGGGCTACGCTCTTTGACACGGGTGGCGCATAGACCGAGAGCGGTATATCGATGACAGATAAATGAGTTTGGCGAGCCGGCCGGATGCACCATAAAAGGAAAGTCTAACGATCTGGCGCAATCGACAGGATATGCAACGCGTTTAGATGCACATGCTACCAATATCGCCATTTCGGCCGACATCAATTTCCCGCGATGCTCTCGGGCCAACACACGTTACGTCACAGTTATGTTATATGACGCGACGCGCGTCCGTGATACTGTTCGGAACAAAACGGAATTTTAACTAGCATAAGGGAGATGAGAGGTAATCTCTGATCTGACTTTGCGACGCGACGCCGGGTTTTACACAAAGAATCGACGGAGGGAAGAGAAACTCGTCTCGCCGTCGCGCGTTCCTTGTTGCGCCGACGTGCGCAACTTTCGACATGAGTTTCTACGTTCGCCGGTAAGCGTGTTCAACTTTGTCTTATCGACCCTGCCTCAATTTCATCGTGCTTTGCTCAAAGGAGTGAACAAAGATGCGTTGAACGAACGATTTATTCGTGCGATTCGTGCGATTCGTGCGATAATGAAGGAGTAATCGGTGCGACTGAAGAAGAAAGCGCTCTGTATACTCATTAATTATTCGCAGACGGAGCAACCTTGTGAAATTGTCCAAGCTTCTCCGCGAAAAAGAAGGCGGAGGGAGCATAACGACAGCGGCGGTGCCAGCGGAGACGTCGAGAAGCGACAGGGGAGGCGATCCTCGATTTCATGAACTCTTGTTTCTAAAACTGGGACTCACTCGACTCACTCGACTTACGAACACAAACAGGGTTGCGTTAACAATCCGCATCGAAGGATCGAAGCCTCTTCTTAAAGTGATTTCCTGCTTGCGGTATGGACATTCGTCTAGAGAATTCCCGCAACGATATCTAATGAAATTATTAGATCGACGCGAGATGAACTTGAGATCGTCAAAGTCTTCGCTGAAAAAAAAGGGGGAAGAAGAAATGTCCGTTATATATGTATATATGTGCATGTGTATCGTGGGAAATATTTTTTGTCTCGAGATGAGTTGTGACGTTATTCGTCTTAAAATTTGCAACAGTGTTAAACTTTCTTCAAACAATTTCATCATACACGAATGATGATGATGAAAGACGCGCGAATTTTCTTCGGTTTCTCTCGTGTCTTTCTTCTTTCCTTTCTTTCCCCTTTTTTTTACTTTTGTAGCGAGGTGTTGATGTGTAAGATACGCTTTGACTTTCAATATCACAGTTCCGCGATAGACTCGCGCACTTAATTGCCGATCGATGGTAGCGTTGAAAATTTAAGTTGCGCGCAACGCATGCGGGAAGAGCTGCGAGCACGGCCATTAAAACCGATAAAGTGCAATTTAATTTCGGGCGAACATATGCTCGTGTTAATTACGAAACACTTTGCTACCGTAATGGTCTGGCACGCGGTGTAATGTGTGTGTGTGTGTGTGTGTGTGTGTAGGTGGGTGGATGGGGGTACATGTTTTTTTCTACCTGCCCAACATCGCCCGATACGATTTTATACCATCGAAACCACTTTAGTAGTCATGAATAATTTTCAAACGCGTTCAAACATACATATAAAGCAAATCCGCGATTCGCTCCGATTTCATCCAGAATTCGTGGGTTTACGCGTTAAAATCGTGCAGGACTCGCGCGATTTGTTACGACAAATTCGGATTTTTCGCAAACCTGGCGAAAATTTACAAGTAGCTTAAGCGCTCGGGCCACAAACTGTAGCCACTGTAGCAACTGTTTTCTGCTACTTTGCAAAACGGCCCGAGCTCACGTCAGAGTGGGGAAATGTTTTTCAACAATGAAGAATAAAAGAAATGCACATTCGCAATTTTATTCGCGGAATTTCCTGGAGAGCGCGACAGCGCACCAAAGCGGAACCAAACAAGAGACACCGGCAGTAAGTTTCCTGGAAACCGCAATAAAGCCGGCATAGTAGGCAAAGACATGTAATTGTAACTTTCGCGATCAAGTACGAACTGGAACTGTACGAGACTCATTGGTGAATCTCGGAAACTTACGAGACGGCATTATCGTACGCGCGATGCGCCGTCTCGCTTCGCTTCGCATCGCACGCAGTCATTCTCGCGCTGTCTCTCGTAATTATTTTCTCTGACGCGAAATAATTCCAGTGTCGTTTACTCACCTAGCGGAGCGCGCGCGCACGCGTGCGATATCGTAAACCTGCGGGGTTCAGATTGATAGGCGGGCACGGGGGCTCGCACACACACGCACGCACGCACACACACACACACACACACACACACACACACACACACAAACACAAATCGGAGGCATGAGCGGAAGGTGAACGCAAGTGAGGCGCCGAGCTGTTTACCCTATCAATCGCAATCGCCTCGATTCCATACTCGCCAAAGCCTCTCCGTGAAATTGGTATCGCTGCCCGCTCGCTTTTATCGCCCCGGCAAAATTCCAGTGTCTACCGCCGTACACGACGTGAGACTATCGCGCGAGCTCTTTCTTTAATCTCGATACAGGTAGAAATTCCCCGAGAGGCACACCGCCGCGGAGGCACCCTCTCCGGAGAAATGTCTCGCCCTGCGACCCTTCTCCTCCTCCTCCTTCCCCCCTGCCCCTCTCCTTATTCTTCTTCTTCCGCTTCTTTCTCCATCTTCTTCCACCTTGGCGCAAACCACTGTACCTTTTCAGCGCTGCTTCCATCCGGTACCTCCTCATCGTCCTGCCTTCGCCCCCTTTGCTCCACTTTCTCGCCGTCGTTGTCCCAAGCCGTCCATTCGTTTCTTCGCCTCTCCCTTTCTGCCCTCGCCAGCCCACGCTACCCCTTCCCCTCTCTTGGCGCCACCACCCTCCACTCAAGTTGGCCTTCTCGCTTTTATCGTCGGAGGCAGCAGATTTTCCTCATTTTACTTTTCAATCTCACGGAGGATGCGATTTTCTTCCTCATTTCCACTCCGACAATATCGGAGGCAACTCACAGCGGACGAGCAGTCGGAGCGGACGAGCGAAGAAGGAGAAGCGTAGCGACGGTTCTTAAGGCGGTTTTTCACCTTAAGTAGACAGTAGAAGACGGCAGAGTGTGAAGAAATACGAGAAGGAACATGCGGATGAAGAAAGGATACGCGTCGCTAATCCATCTGTCGACGCCCGTTGACGTTAGTTCGCCGTTGGGAAATTCGATTTGCCTTCGCGACCTCGAACGCAAAACTAAACGTCGCGTGCCGCTGTACTGTGTGCCTGGTAAAAGGCCGGCGAAAGGCTGGCAAAAGACTGAGACGACCGCGACGTGTTGTTTGAAATATTGGACGCGTTTCTTACCAGGTGTCAATTCTCATCGGGCACCTCGAGCTCGCCTTGCGGTCGATTAGGAATGAACGTCGAGAGAATTTTCGAAAGAAAAATCGGACTTTTCAACTTACCTCCAACACATGCTCCGCTTGATTCTCGCGGTCGAGCTTTCTACCGCTGGTGGTAATGAGACCTGTGACAAAAACAACGCAACGGTGATTAGCCGAAAATGTAAATTCTAAACGCAACTAAAATGCAACAACGATTAATAAACAACGGCCGAGGCGGTGGCGGTGGCGGTGGCGATGGCGCGGTAAAACGCGGCGGCACTTTGCGCAACGACCCACCCTCGATAAAATCGCACGGGGAGCGACAAGAGAGGCGGAGATGGGTGGGCACGGTGGACGACTCTCGAATTGCGGGCGAATGGCAGAGGCCCTCCATTATCGAGACAAAGATCAGGCCCGATGAAACGAACTCGACGAAATTATAGCGTTCAGATTTTGTCGCACGATGCGCGGAGTACTCTGCCAGACTCTTTCGACCACATCACTCCGCCGTGATATCGGGCTTTATTTTACGTCCCACGGATTCCCTTTCATCATGGCACGGACTTTGCTCGGAAACTCGATTGAGCAAAAATTCGCGAGCGTGAGGCTGTCGGTGCGACGTCCAAGGTGAATCCTTCCGGATACTATTCTGTGCGGAAAGCTTTCCCCCGGCCTATGCAGGGTGTTGAGGGAGGGGACCTAGGACGACAGTTCGAACGCGTATTTAATTTTTAAGCCAAGGCGACTTTGCCGCGAAGCACAATTAACAAGAAACGCAGAGAGAGAGAGAGAGAGAGAGAGAAAGCGTTCTCGCTGAGGCGGCAGAATTCGTCCGATGGAGGCGACGAGCTTCTCGCAAAGCCGTCGCGAACCACCAAGCGCGACGCTTTCACAAAGTGCGATACTGCCAAACAAAAAAGAAACCCTTTAGTACGCACGCGTTGCATAAAGCCGGAGCGCGGTGCTTTTTTCTTCCTTCTCTCTTTTCTTCTTCTTGTTTCTTTTTTCTTTCTTTTTTATTAGTCTTACGGCTTCCGGTGACTGGCGTCGTGACGGCCCAGATTTCATATTACACCGCTAATCGAGTTACGAGGAAGCCGTTGCGCTGTTCCGCCCGGAGCTTCGATCCGGCCAGGCAAGGTGTGCGGTGTTGGCTCTCGTAACTTTCGTTACGCGGCCCCGTTATGATCAGCATGGCGTGAATCCGAACTCATACAACTGATACGCACACGGAGCACGGCCATTAAAACAAACTAGTTCCGCGTTTTCGCTGAGAGAACGCTCGCTAACGTGTTAAACTCCCACGCGTAGGATATCGTTATTACGCCGTGATAGAACAAAAGCGCGTGCGCGGGCGCTTCACGGGGCCGCGAGCTTTCAAATCTGACATTCATTTGGTCGCGTATGCTATTTTCAACTTTAATTAATTGCTCCTTTTCTCCTGCTTTGTCAGCTTTATCAACGTATCGCGGTCTCTCTCTCTCTCTCTCTCTCTCTCTCTCTCTCTCTACAATTCGAGATATCGATATCGTAAACTTGACAATGTCAGACGTGACGGCGTGGCAACATTCGGACGTTCTTTTTACCTTTAAATGAAAAGTATGAGAAAAGTGGACGGAGGAGCGGAAGCGCACCAATGGACAAAAGGAAAAAAGCAGTCAGAGGGAATTGCGGGAAGCGGCGATTCGATTGAGCCGCGAGCACGAACGCGAATGCGAAGCATCGGTGTTGTAGAATGCATTTAAATAATTGCTTTTCGTTTTCGCTCTTCTCACCCTTTGGGCCGTGTCGAGCCGAGAGTTCGCGGCCCGATAGGAATGCACGCCCACGTGTGCCTGTGCGCTTACGCGTATTGCGTGTGTGTGTGTGTGTGTGTGTGTGTGTAAACGAGAACAAATCTCACAGCAACGGCGACGGCGACGACAACGATAGCAGCGGTGTGTATGTATAATTACGTGAATGAGCTTGAGGCGGAAAATTCGTTATCGGAAATCAAAGAGAGTAGGTGAAATTATTTACGATATTATCCGACGCGCCGTGAGCGATCGCACTGACGATGTGACGACGCAAAACGAACGTTTCGTGCGGGATAACGACGGATTTATTTTCTCGCACGTAGATCCCAATGGACGTCGCGAGGACGTTTTTTCCTGAAGTGCCGGGCGGTACGTTCCAGTAATATTTTATGGTGATGGTGAAAAATGCTTCCGGGTAACGGCGTCGGAAGCCCGTTTAAAGGCTGCTCATCTCCTGCCGAGAGAACAAGAGCGAGCGAGCGAGCGAGAGAAAGAGAGAGAGAGAGTTTTATCGGGATTATTTCCCTTTTTTCCTCTTCTTTATATGACGAGCTAAGATTATCTGTATTTCAGGGAACGGTAGCGCATCGTCGAACGTTTGATGAAATTTACCTGCCGAATCTCGCGCCAGTATCAGAAAAATTGTGAGTTTGATGAAGTTTGATGGATATAATCAAAGAGTTGATCAATCCCTTTCAGACGACCGTATAAAATTTCTTCGAGAATCCGTCCCGATGACCCTTCAGTCGAGTCGTAATTACGATAGTGACATAACATAACAATAAATGCGAAAACATAGCGTGGAACGTTTTTATGAGATGCAAAAGGCATTTCATAACTAGACAGTTCTCTTTTGCTCTCGTCAACGTTATGGAAAAAAAAAAAAAAAGAAAAAAAAGTCGCGCGATCCACTAATCCATTTAATATGAATTGCGACCGTTTGTAATGGGAGCACGGCGAATTAGCGAGCAATCAACGGCACACATCCGCGGAATAAAATGCCGTATTTCTTCACTTTTGACGCAATTGATTTAATTAATGAGATTAGTCGCGTTACAGGTATATTTGCGAAACGCACAACCACGGCCGGTTAACAAAAGGTTGATGAGCGAGAGAAAGGAAAGCGGAGGAAATATCTGAGAGCGAGTCGCGGAGCTCGCCATTTCTCGTCGAGTCATCGGGGCTTTAGCAGATTTAATTAATAGCGCGTTTTACGTCCTATTTACCCAACGTGCCGTATATCGCACCGACGGGGGCACATATTTTTGGCCGCGCGTGGCGGCCGCGTTACACGCCGAAAGGGATTAACCGCGCGATTAGTTACACGAGATTTGGGGGTCGTGTAACGCTCACTACGACGACGCACCGTAGTGAGTTCGTGTAAGCTCGTTCCCGCGGGCTAGGTCGTATTACTCGACCGAGATCTATCTAATCTAATTTCGTACTGCCGTACAACACTGCCATTGTTCTCCGCCGTCGTATCTTAGCTACGTATTACCGTAACTAGAGATCGTCCGCCGCTTGTGCGACCGCGCGCGCCGGTTAACACTCGGAACAAGTGCGCCTGATGAACGATGAACTGTCTCTCTCTCTCTCTCTCTCTCCCTTTCTCTCTCTCTCTCTCTCTCTCTCTCTCTTCTGTCTGTCTGTCTGTTTGTCTGTCTGTCTGTCTGTCTGTCTGTCTGTCTCCATCGCACTCTGCATTACCTCTCGTCCAAAATATCTCATTCGAGCAGAGTAAGCGGGATATATAACTAAACGTCGTTGGAGATTGACGATGATACAAAATTCTGGAGAATTTCGTCGCGCTTTCAACATGGAATACACGCGATCGCAAGCGAGTCGAAACGCGTACGCTCGTAGGTACGCTTGTACTCGCGCGCCAGGCACCAGGTGTATTGTATATTATTACATCGTAAAGGCCATAATTACAGGATAAACTGGCTTCACCACGCGCGCGCCGTTAATAATAACGTTAATAAGAACGGAAGGGTATGTATACCACTCGTGTAATCGTAGAGCACGTGCATGCGATATACCGTGACGCGTTATTTCAGTATGCATTCGTGGCGAATGATGGAGTAGCTTTTTGCCACGGGACTGACCTTTTCCATCGGCGTCACCCTTTCGTTCCCCTCTCCCGTTCCCGCGCGACGTTCCGGCAGATTAAAAAACCACGTCCTTGCTTGTTATCGGGCGCTCGCGAAAATTGATCGAGAGGCCGCGGTCGCGGATGATTGATGGCGCGCATGGAATGTGCGCGCGGAGCGAAAGAGGCGGCCGCGCGTGGCGAAAGCAAAGTGATGCATTAATCGAGTGATCCGGTGAGTTAATTGCGGAAACGAGCCTCTTTTCACCCTTCCCGCGCTCCTTTATCAGCCCGATCGGTCCAACGCGATTCTTACCGACAAAGTCGCCGACGCTTTTACGGCAGAGGCTGATTTACTATGATTTACATGTTGAAATCAATCAAAGTAACAGTAAGGTAACAATCAAATTTGATCGGGAGTGAAACATTGGGGGTGAAAATTGCAAAACAGGAGCTGTAAAAGTGAATAAATAAATAAATAAATAAATGAATAATTTTTACCTATACACAGAGAGCGCTCAGAGCTCAAGTCAGAGTTCAACTGACTGCGAGATCATCGATCTAATTGCAGATCGTACGACAGAGACTTTACAAGATACGCCCGGCCAGTCTCGAGTTGTAACGCGCACCGCATCTCTGGTAGTTCGTTGACAGTGTGCGGTTCTGACCACCGCAATATCCGTCACTAGGAAAAACCACGAATCCACGAATCCTCTCGAGCCCCGCGCGCGCAACGCATAATAATGCCGAGTAAGTACGAACCGCGGGCGCGGTTTCGCAGCGGCGATACGTCGTGATACGTTCTTCTAGTAGTAGAAGAGGAGAAGGAGAGAAAGAAAGGGGGGGGGAAGGCTCATTGCTGAATCGACGACACAACGGCGATAAATTTGGTATTGCCGGCGCGAACGCGGCCGGTCTCTGCTGCGACGATAAAAGCGACAATGTCTCTTCTTCGGAGCGGTAAACCAATTTGGCCGGTATTACACGGAATTTGGTAGCTGTCCTTTGCATTACGCGCAGTAATTGCTGTTGGCGTGGCGGCGTCGCTAGCCGCACCGGGCTGAAACTAGGACAGAGGGCCGCGGGCCGGAGTCTCTCTCTAATAGCTTCCGATATAAGATCTGTCTGTATCTATGCGTCTTTCCGCGAAGGCCTTGTTGCAAATTCGAGATGACTGACGCTGCTGATGACCGGCACTCGGCTCCTTTTGCGCCATTTGGTGATATTTTCCATCCATCTCACACAGGTTGCAAAAATAGGTAGATACATGGATGGATGGATGGATGGACAGACTTTTCGCGACAGACAGACCGCTCCTGATGACGACTGTTTGCACCCGAGGACACCGAGGTCGGGTTGAGTTTGCGGATCTCACTATTCCGTTTGGCCGGTGATAATGATTCCGATGACATTTACAACCGACATATTATCGATCTGTTGCAGCCAAGTATTTTCGTATCGCGGCGCAAGCGTTTCATCCGTTTGTTCGTTCTAAGGCTTGTCCAATCATCGAATATTTGCTCTGGCATGTGAAAAATCAGTCGCGAGCGCCGAGCGCCAAGTCTCGAACGCCACATTCTCTCGAACATTAAAAGTGGATACATCCCACGTGGATAGGGACACGCGGAACGGGAGGGAGGGGGGTTGGTCAGCTGGCGGAAAAAAGTTTCCGAGATTGGCCGACAACGATGAATGCAAGGGAGGACTGACTTTTTCATTGCGCGGTTCGTCTCGCGGCGCAAGCGACTTTTCATTTTGCGTAATATCGATCACGAACGACTGTCGAAGAATGCAAGATGCTCTCGTTGCTCTCGTGATGAGAGAACGGGCCGGATGCCAGGAATTGAAACCAGTATAATTTCAACGAGAGTCTACATTTCCATACCGTCGACCGTCGGAAATAAATGTTGTAACCCGAGTCAATTCGCTAGCGATCTCCTCGCGGCGCTTTAACCTCCTCTCGGAACAGGGACAGGTGGTGAACCGAAACCGGCCGGCGACAGACCGAGCGCGACAGTCAGGAGAGCATTTGGCGTATGTGCTAGAGACAGTTAGAGAATTGCTATCGGTCAAAAATTCTACATCGTACAAGATATAACAGCGTAAGATCGCTTGATTAACAATACAATTGATAAAGAAACGTCAGCGTCAGGGCTGAACGACTGAGTCGACGAACGGCTCTTACTCTGAAAATATCGAGGGAACTCTTCCTCGAAATGACACTGCATCTCGCAACGACATTTACAGTCGCAGGCACTTGATGAATCTCGCTCGCTTAAACCCACTCGCCGCGTTTTCTATGCGTATTTGTAGTTCATACATTATTTCGTCGCACTAAACAACGCAACGCCGCCTCTCACGTTATTTATGGCGGTTCTAAAGTCAAAGGCAGGGACGCTGTCCTAGATCTAACGAGCCTGCGAGATAGGCACTCTCATCGTTTTATAATCCCCGAGCGTCTCACGCGAGAAGGAAGGCTAAGCGAAACGATAAAGGACTGATGAATATGGATCGACGTTCGATCAGTCGAATTTGCATGCATGCGACGCCGACGGCCAAGTGAGAACGGCAAGAACAACGTATCTTTAGACTAGACGCTTTGATATATCGCGGTTATTCCGCGATATATGTGTCGCAAAGAGACACGACAGTCTTTCGGAAGAATAGAGCTAAGTATTTGTTGCATTTTATTGCTACGTTCGCTCAATTCAGCCATCGGTAATGCAAATTGCGTACTTGTAGAAACTCGAAACTTTGGACGGGCGTTATTTTGACACCACCACGAGCAATTGTCCCGCGAGAATATTCCGTGCGCGCATGGAAAAAACGAGTCCGTTGGCGGAAACTGAATTTTCCGCCGCCTGAGTGGAACAAGGGCCGGGCAAGGGAAAGAACGGCTCGGTTGTAAGAACCTTAAGAACCTTCGGTTGTAAGAGAGAGTCCTACACGAAGCTAAGTCTCTACTGTCCGTGGCCGCGCCAAGCGAATTTTAACACGGCTGAATGTTCAAAACGAATGCGGTTTCGTGCGGTCGCGACGGTCACTGTCATTTCTCGTCACTGAATTTTCTCAGACAGTGCCTCTATTTTCAGCTTCACCAACCGAGATTCGTTTCCCGTGCATACATACAATATAATGGCGCGCTCTTTGTTGTCCGACAAGTCATCGAGACAGAACTGATTGACCCGGGAGCGAAATATATCACCTTTATCCTAGATTCTCGCCTTACCAACACGAACGTTACCTCGTATCGGTCACAGACTGCACAATCAGTCGAATCACTCGCGAAGAATCAATATTTCGATCTTCCGATTCGGACGGCTAACAAACGGCTAAGACCCGGCTGAAAGTCCTTTCACGGAAGAAGCCAATCTCCCGGTTCCACGTAACGGATCTATTAAAACTCTCGTCCGACAAAATTGACCTCATTACCGGCGCGGGTGCGGCTAAAGACCCGTCATCCTGATCTTCTCTCTCTCTCTCTCTCTCTCTCTCTCTCTCTCTCTCTCTCCTCTCTCGCGAGGCCATATTATTTCGCCGACGCGATACGCCGCGCCACGCCGCGCCGCGAGTGCAAGCTCGGAACTTACCGGTGGTGGAGTTGATGAGAAAATAACCCTCCGGATTGCCGCTGCTGATGGAGAAGACAAATCGCTGGGGCGAGGCGTCGCGATCAAAGGCGCGGATCTGCAGGACGCTAACGCCGGCGGGTGAGTTCTCCGGCACGGAGGGATAGTAAACCGGGTGTTCGGTCAGCGGCGTGTTATCGTTCTCGTCCAGCACCTCGATGTAGACCTGCACGAGAGCAGTCTATGAATCATTCACTAAATAAAACGTCCGTTGCGAACGAGCGTGCGCGATTTATTCGCGCGCTCGTGGAGAAAAGAGAAAACAAAACGTCTTACGACGCTCGCGTTCGTAGCTTATGGCAGCACGTTATCGTAATATACAAGTCTGTTTTAAGCAGGTTGCTTTAATCGCAAACGCGAAGAACGCTACTATACACGCGGCCAGTATACTACGATACAAATACAAAAGTAGAAAACGCGTAAGGGGACGCGCTCGGCCGAAAAGCCGACCGGTTGTGACGATTTCGCGTTCTCGCGTTTCAAGACTTTGAAGCCGCTTCTCTCTCTCTCTCTCTCTCTTTCTCTCTCTCTTTTCCCGTTAAGATTGACAAAGTTTGATTGTCGAAACTTACTTGTAGACTCGTGCTCAGCGGCACCACTCCGTGATCTTGGGCGTAAACCGTCAACCAGTAACCTCCCTTGGTCTCGACGTCGAGCACCACTCTGGTCCTGATGTTTCCTGCAATGCAAAGAGCACGAAGCAATTAACTCAAGAGCTAGAATATACTCGCCGAACGCGAACCGATTAGTATCGCGAGATTTCGTGTCTCTCGTGACTTCGAAATAAAAATAATTCGATTCATTGATCGCGCGATCGACAGCCGCAGGCATATCGGCCCTGGCGGCGTGCGTAAATGAAATATATCGCAGGTGCGAGCCGGTCGGACAACTTTCTCGGCGAAAACATTAAAAAAAAAAAAGAAAAAATCGCCGTATCGCGACGATCCTTCGACCAGCTCGATATCGGCGATATCGCCGTAAATCGCCGGGCTTCGAAACGAACGGAAAGCGGCTAGCACGCATGGAAAAAAGAGGTAATATCTCCTCGCAACACACCTTGTGCGCGCGAGGCAACTAGTCGACAACAAGAGAACCGACAGCCGTGGCACGCGTCAACGCATAGGTGTTTGTGAGCGTGTAAGCGTGCACCGGACTCGCGCCAACCGAGGCAACAGCGCCGGCAAAAATCGGACCGCATTCCTGTCGTTAATACATCGGACGAGCGAAACTCAGCGTGCGAGCGAGCGCGGTACCGCCGACGCTGTTCCGCGTGTCTTTGGTCAGCTTTTTGCCGACATTTCGCCGGATGCGACCGATATCCCGCGCGTTCCGCGCGCTCTTCTCGAGCGGTTTGTTAATCGACCGCGATTAAAAGGACGGAAAGACGCGCAAACGGCCGGGATAAGCGCGTACGGAGGTTACCTGAGATTACTTAGTAACTCGAGAGATACTTCGCATTGGCCTGTTGCTGCACGCGAGAGAGAAAATCAACGCAAGGGAATCGTACGTGATGACTGAGCCCCGCGCGATTTGTAACGCTGATAATCGACGTCTTCCTCATCCGCGTCGTTTCGGTCGTTCGCGCCGTGCAATTATAGCGAGACATCGAACTCACCGTTTCGACATCGATCGCCGACCAGGATTACGGTTTCGATCGAGTCTACCGGAGCATGTAATGAGCGCTAATTAGAAATCGGGATTCGTAAAGATTACCGCCGCGTGTCATAAATTGTTGCATTCCGCCGAGACGGCAAGAGTCTGCGGATTGTTCGTGTGTGTGTGTGTGTGTGTGTTCACGATAGCGTCCTCTTATCCCTCTCTCCTCCTCGCTAGATTTTCTCGATGGTATATAAACATATATCTATGATTAAAAAAAATGAATTAACGAGTCCTTGTGCATCGGCAGTTGAAGAAATGAGACCAAGTATTAGGAGTTCAGTTTGCTCGAATCGGATAGCGCGGACCACAAAGTGTCAAGATCTCTGCTGTATGTACAGAAGGTTTTGCCGCTCCGCTCTTTCCTCGCAGCTTTTGTACGGGCGACTATCGCCCGTCCGTGCGCGCTCAAATCCTAGTCATGATTCTCGTGCTTGCTTGCTTGCTTGCTTGCCTGCCTGCCTGCCTGCCCGCCTGTCTGGAGTTTGCGTACATGACAAGTGGGAATAGAAGGGGATACACTTTTTAGAGTTTCCCTTACGTTGTAAATCTCGTATCCAGTCATGTGCACGTCACTCATGGATGCACTTCGCGTACTTTGAGAAGGAACTTTATGGCGCGATTTGGAAGGCAAGGCGAGGATAAGAGCAGCATATTTCGCCCAACGCGCATAATTAACGACGACGCATAAAACGCAGCTTTCTGGATCTAAGGAGGAGCGCGGGAAATGTGCTCCCTTCGAGAGAGCTTCAATCCGGCTTGCCGTGGGAATAGTTAAATCTTAATTAACCGCAAACGCGAACGTTGTCATACAGCATCCCTCTCTCCTGTCTTCTCATATCGTTTAGCCTCGCATTACACGTGCTTCTTCTGTTCGTACAACACACGTTCTGTGGAAGAAGCGGATAAAGACACGTACGGTGTTTAATAGCGGGTCGAGCCGGCGAATGTATTAAATTTAGTGCCATAAACGCGACTTATATGCAGCATCCTCCGCCGTCGTATAACGGGCAGAGGTTCGTTAGAGCGGAGAGCGAGCCGGCGCACCACAATATACGGGGAAGAGAGAAGGAGAGACAAGCGAAGAGGTACAAGGGAACGACGAACGGCTTCTGGAATTACAAAAATGAATTTTCTCGCGCGTCGACACCGTGCAATTTTTAGAGGAAGAAGTTAGGAAAAAAGGAAGGAAGGAAGGAAGGAAGGAAGGAAGGAAGGAAGGAAGGAAGGAAGGAAGGAAGGAAGGAAGGAAGGAAGGAAGGAAGGAAGAAAGGAAAGAAAGAAGGAAGGAAGGAAGGAAGAAAAAAGGACGGAAGGAAGGAAGAAACGAGCATCTTGAAGGCGGGGCCCGTCCGCACGGCGCAGGCGGACAATTCGCGATAGCACGAAATGCAAATTTTTCCGGCGCGGTCAAACGCCGCAGTCTCCACCTGCTTTCAATAAAGTGCAAGTAAATATTCATTAAATGTGCAAATCCTCATGAATAACGTAAATATTTTAGGTCAATCGGAAAGTTCCGTCCGTTTTCTTGCAAAACGTATGGCTTTATTTAAGAAACAAAATGAAAAAGTACATCAATCAAAGTATTGTCCGTCGTTAGCGATGACTTTTTCCCATCTTTCGGTCAGCAAGCAAATTTCGCGGCGAAAGAATTACTTATTTTTGGAGGCTATCCAGTCAGAGATCCATTTTTCGACATTTTCATAAGAATTGAAGCATTCCTCAGCAAGTGCGTGTGCCATCGACCGAAACAAGTGGTAGTCGGAAGGGTCACAGTCTGGTGAATAAGCCGGATGGGATAACACTTCCCAGCGAAGTGCTTCTAACGTTTCCTTGACAGATGTTGTGACGTGAGGCCGAGCGTTGTCATGAAGCAAAATCACTTGATGCTGTCTCGTTTCATATTCTCGTCGTTTTTCGTGCAATGCTCGGCTCAAACGGATCATTTGTTCTCTGTAGAGATCCCCTGTGACTGTTTCACCACTTTTCAACAGCTCATGGTACAGCACACCCTTCTGATCCCACCAAATACAGAGCATTGCCTTCTTTCCGTGGATATTCCGTTTTGGCGTCGATGTTGAGGGTTGGCCGGCGGGATCGCAAATAGTTTTTCGACGTTTGGGGTTGTCAAAATAAATCCATTTTTCATCCCCAGTGATGATACGATGTAAAAACCCCTTTCTTTGTTGCCTAGCAAGCAGAATTTCGCAGGTGGTTTTTCGCCTTTCAATGTCTCTTGGCTTCAATTCATATGGGGTCCCATTTTCCTGCTTTGTAAACCTTTCCTAAGGCTCTCAAACGCTCGGAAATGACAGATTGAGCACAATTTAACGTTTCTGCAAGTTGCGTTTGTTATGAGTCTTCGTCCACCAATGCCTGCAACTCTTCGTCTTCGAATGCTCTTGGCCGTCCAGAACGCCCTTTGTCCTCTACATCAAAATCACCAATTTTAAAGCGTCGAAACCATTCTCTGCATGTTTGATCGGAAGGAGCATCATCACCATAAACTTCTACAAGCATTCGATGAGCTTCAGCTGCAGTTTTCTTCCAATTGAAGCGAAAGATTAACATTTCGCGCAAATGACGCTTACTTGGCTCAAATTTCGACATTTTCGATGCAGTGAAAAACAATGTTATTGATGCAAACGTATACTTTTAAGTACTGAATGTTATTGATGAGATGTCAAAACAAACTATTAAGCTTCGTTTAGATATTAGAGGTTAACGGCAGTTCTAGCTATAGTTTGTCGCTAGCTATACTTGTCGCTAAATGGACGGAACTTTCCGATTAACCTAATAGTATACATTCAAAAGAATAAGACACGCCGTTCCTCGAAAGCGAAGGGCAAGAGAATTTCGTTCGTGGCATATTTTTGTACGCGCTTATCACATGAAATTGCGCAGATTCGATTGCGTCCGCCTGTAACAATGCCGACGACGCGGATCGCAGACCGCAGTCACGTTGTATTTTAATCGGGTCTCGAATGGCGAAGCACGTCATGGCTAACGTCATGGCTAACGTCATGGCTAACGTCGGCGACTCTCCCGGACTCCTTCGTGTGTTCATCCATTCGCTTAGACAGCTGATGAAGGCGCGTGCGGCATTTAATAATACGCTGGGAATCGCGCGCGCGCGCGCGCGCGATACACACGCGCGACGATGATTACACAATGCAACCAAGTGTTGCATTGCTCGGGAAGCTCGTGTTTACTCGGATTTACCTGTATTTACCTCTCGCGTCGCTTCGCGTTGTTACCTAATCATATCGACAGTAATGCTTGTTGCAATCTCGCAACGCGCGCTATTTACACGGCTCAGCGAGAAAATCGGACTCGGAGAGAAGGAAACGCGGCCGGACGAATAAATAGCATTCCCGACGTGCATGCGCATCGCGCACCAGGGAAGAAGAATAACTCGGATCGCAATCGCGACAGCTGGTCTTTTAGGTTTTAGTGTAATTTTTCCATGACGCTCGTCCGTCCTCAGCTCACCTCGCGTAAGAGGTCGGCGTCATTCGCCGGCAGTGAGAGAGAGAGAGAAGACCGTCGTCTTCTCATCGCGCGACTTCTACAGAATTCGTTTTCGCGCGACTTTCGCCCTTTGTTCGAGTAACGACGAAGCTGCTTGGCGGAAACTTGGCGGGGAGAGAACGGTCGATGGCTTTCCGAACGGAGGATGGAGTGCAGCTGTGTAATCGAACCCCTCGGTCGTTTAATTTTTGGCCTCGGGTGCCGTCCTTTCATTCAGAGTCTTAACTCTCTGTGCTCCTTCGCCACTCTCATCCACCCCGAGAAATTTCTCGGGGTCTTGACGCGCAGTCTCGTGTCTGTCGTCGTGATCGTTAACCTAGATTCGTCACTGATACTTTCAGCATTAACTCGTTGGCAATGTGCCCCGTGGACGTTCGCGAAGCGTTAACAACGGCTATCACGGGTCCCCCTGCCGCTGCTGGGGAGAGGAAGAGATCATTGAGTTGAGAGATCGGCGAAAGATTGATGCTCGATCCGGTATCAGGGATTAAT